CTCAGGTTATTTGGAGACTCGAAATTGCCCGTAGGTGTGAGCGTGAATGTTTGTCTGTCTCTATATGTGCCCTGCGATGAACTGCCGACCTGTCCAGGGTGGACCCTGCCTTCGCCCAATGTCAGCTGGGATTGGCTCCAGCGCCCCACGACCCTGAACAGGATAAGCGGTTTGGATAATGGATGGATGGATGGAGATGAGGTACGATGAGATGAGATACAAAAGGGTGAGATGATACAATCAGGTCACTTCCATTATATTATCTATTTTATGTTCCTTGATTTATGTTGCTGACTTTATGTTTGCTTGTTTGTCTACTTTTGTTGATTATATGAGTTTTATATTTGCTTATAGTTTATTTATTGAGACGAGATTCGTACTATAAGCCCCACGTGTTTTTTTAATGCACAACTTGCTTCTTTTCTTTTAGGTGTTATTTTTCTGTCTCTTTGTTTTTATTGTACAAATCTCAAAATGAGACGAGACGAGATAAAATAAAACTCTATTTATTTCGGGGGAATTGTTGTTCAACAGCTGCAAAGTGGGAAAGAGTGCACATAAAACAAAATATGATCAAATAAAAAATATCAGTAAGGTGCACAAACCAAATGTAGATATTACCAGAGATGTAAAGATGTTTAAGAGAACAAAAATGTGCAAAACATAAAAAAGTAGACAGTAAACGGTGAGGATCATGTATGAAGTGGTTGATGGTGGCTCCGTCTCTCAGGTAGTGATGAGTTGATGTTTGATGAGGGAGGGAGAGAGGATTTGATGTGTTTGTGTGGATCACGTCTTGTATCCTGTAATAACACAATAGTTGATTCATGAGAGACAGGTGTAAACAGAGAGGAAGAAGAATCAATCCAAACACTTCTTCCTTCTTTGTTTTACTCTTGGGTTTAAAGGAGAGAACTATCTGTATTCCTGCTGGTCTGTTTAGACAGTAAGTTGCTGTAATCAGAGGGTTTAGCCGTAAAAACACCTCCAGACTGAGTGTGAGACTCCAGTAACAGTAAATGTATTCATGTTGCTCACCTCAGTGAAGATCTTTTAAAACAAAACACTGGCTCCCAACCTCTGATTGTGTTTACTTTGTCTAAGTTTTGATTTTCTTAAACTTGATAAATCCTTTGAATGAAAACAGATCTCAGAAGAGAAGATCACTGTGAACATCTCCACGCTGGAGGGCTTTCATCCTCACAGTGTTTTAACGGGTCAGAAGCCTTAAAGGGGAAACACTGTTAAGAATAAAAATAACATCACAGCCAAATATTCTACGGCCAATATGAGTCAAACTAATCATAGTTTATTCGACAATAAAAGTATAATAATATGCATTATTGCTCCGGCAACCGCAGAGGATAAGAAAGATGGACAGAAGCAAAAGCAGAAAAACGAAAAATAGAAAAACGTAAAGAAATAATACAAAGAAAGGGACACTAAGGCACAAATTCTGATTAAGTAATTACATAAATATATATATAAATGCAGGACATTACTGTTTTTATGGCCTTTCTGTTGATACAGCATTTGATAGGTTCTATATACAGGAAGTAGCATGTTCAAACTGAATACATGCAACAGTAAGTACTTTGTGAGGGAAGCTGCAGCGTGTACTAAAAGAAAAAGAAAAAGTATGCAGCCTGGAACGCAGCTAGAGATTCTCTGAAATTATTCATCCTCAACATTTGTTGTGTTGAGGTGTCAGAATGATGAAGAAAGTCAGAGAACAATTAGATACAAAATAGGACGTATATATACTTTATTTCTTTCCTTGGCAAATATCATGTTTTTTTCCCAAATGATGAACAATATTAGTCATTCTATATCAAATAGCTTGAGAGATGTGCATAGCTGCCATAAATGGGAATACAATCTCCCTGGCAGAGGATGCTTCTGGACACCTGTATAGTTTTGGGCTGAGTGTTTACAACGTCTGGCTCCGCCCCCTGGCTGCAAGCAAATAATAATAATAAGCAGAATCGCAGATATGTAACCCATTAATACACACTCATAGATATCAATGTTAAAACACCACCACCAGTTATACAGATTAGTACTAATCTAGATCATTAAAAATATATATTTCTTACAATAGTCTACAAAGTCAGCAGTTTGTACATGTGATTTACAAACTGCTTTTGGTCTAAATTCACTTTTCCAGGAGTTTTAAGGTCAAAGGTTTTATTGAATGGTTCTTAAAGTGACACGCTGGAGGATAAACAGCCAACTGATCTATAACGCATCCGTAAGTTATTATCTATTGATGCGATGAAGCCTTAGTATGTGATCAGGAAGGCAGTGTCCACCTTTACTTTAGGAATAATAAAGATGGAAATCTCAAATTGAATTAGATTTTTTTTTTGGTAACGATCAGCTTAACACACTCCAGTGGAACAACGATAACCCTAAAACACAACAAATTCACTTCAAATCAGTGACTAAGCTCAATTAGCAAAATGTAAAGCCGTTTTTTCACGGTGAGCTCGAGGCTATTATTGGAAAGTTACGTCACGGCGCAGTGGAGCGTCTCTCTCTCTCTCTCTCTCTCTCTCTCTCTCTGTACAGCAGAACATCGGATAGTTAGCAGAGAGCTGCTGGTCCCTCCCTCTCCCCACATGGACCGGAACCACGCAGCGCCACGTGACCCCGCAGCTCGGGACTGAACGAGCCCCCTCACACCGCATCATGGTTGCGGAGGATGCGGCCGCGCGGTCCCGAACCGGAGCCCCGCTCTCCCCCGGAGCTCCGCTCTCTCCCTCCCGCCTGCTGCTGCTCTCCCTGTCCGTCTGCTCGCTGCTCCCCGCCCCGGCGCTTGGCTTGCTCGGCTTTCGGCCGGAGGAGACCGGAGCGGAGCTGTCCGTGGCGGACGGGGTGCTGAAAGCCACCGAGGGGACCCGCTTCATGCTGCGGGTTTATTACTCCACCTCCCCGCAGAGGCTCAACCGCACCGCGGCGACTCGCGCCAACAACGCCGCGCCCTGGATCGCTTTCATCGAGGAGCCGACCCCCGGGCGAGAGGGACAAGTTCACCCGAAGCGGAACATGTGCATGGACAAGAACGCCAGGACGTCCGACATCGAGGTTTTGGGTTCTTTCAAGTCTGCGTCCAGTCAGAAGTCGGTGCTGGTGGAGCTGCTGGCCAAGGACCTGCGCAGGGGGGAGAAGATCAAATACTACTCCATGTGCGCTTTTGACGGATCCAAATGGGAACACTACCGGACGAGGGACTTCTGGGTGGCCGTGGCGGAGCGCTCGCCCCCCCCGGAGCTCTGGCGGCAGGTGCTGGTCTCCGTCCTGCTGCTCGGGCTGTCCGCGCTCTTCAGCGGGCTGAACCTGAGCCTGCTGGCGCTGGACCCGGTGGAGCTGCAGGTCCTCCAGAACAGCGGCACCGACAAGGAGCAGAACTACGCGCGGAAAATCGAGTCGGTGCGTCGGCACGGCAACTACGTCCTGTGCACTCTGCTGCTGGGGACGGCGATCATCAACGCCTCGCTCGCCGTGTGGATGTGCCAGATCCTGGGCATGACCTGGCTCTCCACGGTCATCTGCGCCTTCGGCATCTTCTTTATCGGAGAGATCCTCCCGCACTCGGTGGCGTCGCGTCACGGCCTGGCCATCGCCTCCAAAACCATCTGGGTGACGCGGCTGCTGATGGTGCTCTCCTTCCCCATCTCCTACCCCATCAGCAAACTGCTGGACCTCATCCTCAACCAGGAGATCTCAAACTTCTACACCAGGGAGAAACTCCTGGAGATGCTGCGCGTCTCCGACCCGTACCACGACCTGGTCAAAGAGGAGCTCAACATCATCCAGGGAGCGCTGGAGCTGCGCAGCAAGACCGTGGAGGACGTGCTGACGCCGCTGACAGACTGCTTCATGCTGGCCTCGGACGTCGTCCTGGACTTCAACACCATGTCGGACATGATGCAGAGCGGCTACACGAGGATACCGGTGTTTGAGAACGAGCGGTCCAACATCGTGGACATCCTGTTCGTCAAGGACCTCGCGTTCGTGGACCCGGACGACTGCACCCCGCTGAAGACCATCACGCAGTTCTACAAACACCCGATGCACTGCGTCTTCAACGACACCAAGCTGGACGCCATGCTGGAGGAGTTCAAGAAAGGTG